AGTCACAGCGATGTTGGAAGACCAGCTTGTATTAAATCCTCTCACTGGAAACGTTAACACTCAATGATGCATACACAGATATATATGGATCACTAAGTATACATACATAGAAACACATATATTTATTTACACACACGTGGCTGTGTCTACATAAATATGTATTTATCAGCACAGACAAACTTAATGAACCCCATCTATAAATGAGTGTCTGCACACACACATGTATAATGAGTCTACTAAAATGACAGCAAAGCTCTGCAGGGCTGTGAAGCAAAAAAGTTATTTCTCTTTATGTAGGTTTAGAGAGATGCTTAGCACAGGAGATGAAGTGGCAGGGGTAATAATTATGAATCAGAGCTGGAACAACATAAAGCCCTTCTCTGGACCCACAAAAACATCTTGTCTCTGATTTGAATGGTACAGATTAGCAACTCTCTCGAGCAAATACTGCTTCTGTTTGGATATATCACAATCAACTAGAAGGGGAATACAATCTGATTCCTTTCCCCTGCTGGACAACCTCAGGCAAGTAACATGTTGTGCCTATGGCTTGTCAACACAGAACTGTTAGATCTGACCCATTAGAACGTGAAATCATTAAAAGATATACTATTCACCAGTGAGGGCTACAGGACAGAAGTTAGAAAACTGTAAATTTCAAAAAGACTAGTGCTTTCTAGGTACTCATTGGGTCACCTAAAAACGTGCCTAACCCATTGCCCTCACGCATTTGAGTTATTTTCCTAAAGGACCCTTTGTTTTCTACAGCTGCTTTCCTCACACCTGTGCTTTGGTACACATCTCTCGAAGTGCTGTGACACTAAGGGAGCTGAACTGACCATCTTGTCAGATGAGATGACTGTCAAAAGAACAGTGAAAGGAATTGCAGAAGTGGATGATCAGCCAGGAATGGAGGAAGGGAGAGCAGATTCACCTTGGTTAGGCAGTAGCTCCAAGTTAGACCAGCTCACACAGTCTCGTGGTACTTCCCTGTGTGTCACAAAACTACATTCTTAGCGGAGCCCACTCAGCTATGCTTGCAAGGAAATAATTCAGTCTTGTACTCTTATAGCCATATGAAATAACAAAATCATAGAATAATTTAGGTTGGAACAGACCTCTCCAAGACATCTTGCCCAATTCCCCACTAAAAGCAGCTCCCAATTCAAAGTACACTATAATATTCAGAATCATATAATGCCTCTACATGCAAATCTACAGATTTTACCATACTGATAAGTTCTTTAGGACTGCCTTAGGACACATATACACAGCACAAAGCAAGAAGCCTAGGATGCTCGTACAATACAGACAGATACTGCAACTGCTCACATAACAGCCATGAAGCGGTATGAAATTCCGTGCTAAAAATGTTGCTGCTTCGTACAGCCCAGAGAGCCCACTCACAGGATGTGCCACAAAATGAAGGTTGGGAGTAACAGTCATTCTACTGATATACTGATTTTAATAAGATAGTATTATGATAAGATTGTTAATAATGCAATATGTTAATAATAGTTGGAGTATAATGACTATTTAATACACATTCCCCTCAGATTATTATTTTTCGGAAGTAGTTGAACACAGATGACTTTGATGCAAAACAATGGAAGAAATTTTCCCTAACAGGAATCAGCCGAGACCTCTAGATGAAATATTTTGCATTTTCCAGGATGAAAGACAAATTTTTAAAAGCCACTAACTTACCCAGATTGGCGGTACACAAATATGAGCACAGTCTTGGTCTTTCTGCCTCAGCCCTGCTTCTATTCTAAGAGCTCCCACTGATCCCATCCTCAGATGGGGTATGCTGATCCCAAACCGTTGTGCTCCTCTCATCAGCGTCTTGAAATCATTGGGGTTTCCACCCGCAAACACAAATTCCACGTGTGTTCCACTCCAACCACCATGTGTTATCTTGGTTCAGAGAATGACCAGTAGCAATAGAAATGCATTGATTTCTTCTCAGCCAAAGCTTCCACAAGCTCAGCATGATCCTACAGTACCCTTATAGATGAGTTCACTAAAATTCTCATTGTGAGAAATACCTAAGTGATCTGCGTAGAAATGGTTTGCATAAGGGCTTTATAAATGGTCTCTTTCCTCCACAGTTCGTCTAACGCTGTGGATAGGAATTTCTCTAAACATTTATGGCAAGTATCATGTGAAATTTCTTTGTATGGCTTTTACAGACTATTAAGAATAGTTTTAAAAATTGCTAGTGATGACAGTAATAATAAAAACAATACCAACAATAGCAATAATAATAATAATAATAATAATATGCCTGTGAAGATTTCAAAAGAAAAAGTCAGCTCTCCACAAAGCTGATACACAATATTCAGCAAGATAACTCACTTCCTACATTCTCCATTCCATTCAAAGCCTACAGAGATATAAGTAACAATAACCTTAGATTTAAAATGCATCTTTCATCTCAAAAGAAAACTGCATTGATTTATAAAGTAAATGGGCTAAATCCACAGCTAGTTGAAACTAGCTCCATTGATTTCAATGAAGGTGCTGATGTGTAGATTTATTCGAGCTCAGATCTGTCTCTGCATGTGTGTGTGTGTCTGCAAGCGTGTGTGGTTGGAAAGCGATACACATTGCGCATTGCACAAAGAATTTCATAGAAAAAAACCATATTAACCAACACAGAAAGTGACACATTATTGCTGCATTTGGAGAAAAATGCGCAGAGTGAACAGAATGCAGGGTCTAATCTTCAGCTGGGGACTGGCATATATTTTCCCGACAGGATGCTCACAGCAGTCTTGTGAAAAGGCTCACAGGTATATCATATGCTGCTGTGTTTTTCTCCTTGCAAAAATATGGGCAATATTTGCAGATAGCAAGGCAGCAGATGCACAGATATATCCTGCTACACAAACAAGTACTCCACTTTTAGGAAGAAAAAGCCAAAGCCAAGCCATGGGTTTGGAGTAAAGGAAAAACCAGCAACCCTACCAGAATTGATACCACCTCTACTCCAATAAAAATCTCAACGGCTGTCTGTGACATAGACATGGAGGCTGCCTTGTTCTGCCCCAGCACTGTTTGGGAAACGAACTTAAGGTTGCAGCTCCTATGCTTTATAGGCGTAAAGGTTAACCATAATTAGTTAGCCTGGCCTCCCTAGGACACTTTAGCATGGGAGATACAGATGGGCTATGCAGGAGTTGGCTACACCTTCCTGATCCTCCCAGGCCTACAGCACCAAGACACTTCATCTGTCATGGCATAGACAGCAAAGAAGCCAGCTCAAATAACCCTTTGCAAGACGAGGATTTTCCCCCAGACCCTTTCTTGCAGCTAATGTGAGGTCCACTGCAGGTACAGACTGCTCCTCACCACATAGTCTCTTCTGTTTGTGTAAGGCTGATGTAGGTCTGGTTTTTGAAAGGCATACCAACATAAATCATGCAACCCAGTTGGAATAAATTCAAATCACTAGCAGAAATGCCCAAGACACACAACTGTTATCTGATCCAAGCTTCCTCAGAAACTGGTGACAAGCATACTCAGCATTCTACTCTCAGTCTGTCACTACCTGTGACACCAGCAATGAAATCCACCTACGCATTTCTGCTACATAAGTAGGCAGATGGGCTGAAGCCTAGAAGAAAATATACTGGGCTTGAATCTCTTTTCTTTTGCAAGTAGTGAAAATCTGCAGGAACTTCAGGTGCAGGTGCAGAAAGCAAGAAAAGCAAACTGACCGCAAGGTGAAATTTATAGTATATCTCCTGCCCCTGAGTTGGAGTGCTGCAGCAGTGTCTGATGTGATTAACCAAAGGCACTCCTTCATGCCACTGCAGATACGCTTTGCAGGAACGCCTCAGTCTAAGGCATCTTAGCCACCTTGCTTTCTTATCCTTTTCAGAAAGCTGTTCCAGCCAGCTCAGAGAAAATACAAGTAAGAAGGCATCTCTGCAAGCAACAAAGGCAGTGCATCTAGTCCTTGCTTTGTTCAGAATCCCAGAATAGAGTGTTCTGATCTGCTTTGTGCAAAAGATCAGATGACTCTTTGAAGATGCCTTTGAACTTAAAACATTCCCTCTCTCCCCTGGTTGTTAAACTCAGATGCTGGCCTGTTCTTGGGCCAACATTACTCCACCAATTCCACCAGCCTTACCCAGAGCTTCAGCACTCTTGGGAGGAGGAAGGTCCAAGCACCTTCAGTGCCAGCCCAGGCTCTTCCTTCCATGGTATGGGTGAATCTGCATACTACACCCCAGGCCAGGAAAGTTATTCTGAGCTCAGGTCTATGTATGCACACTGAGAACACCTTTAGCTTGAGCTAAAACCAGATGTACAGCCCACAATGCAGATAGCAAGCAACGAGGTTTGAGGATATTCATACCCAGCAGCAATCTCTAAAGACAGTCAAGCTGCACAGCTGGAACAAGCACAGAACTGACATTAGGTGCAACCATACAGATCTCTGGCCTCTGAAGAACACTGCAGTCCCTGGGCCATCAGATCTAAGGAACACAATCTCAGCAGTATTTATGAGAAGGGACCTCTGGATGTCACTAGTGCAAGCTCTTACTCCAAGACAGACTGTCGCCAACTATAGATCAGGGCAGATGTGGCTTCATCTAGCCAAGGCGTGAAAACTTCTAGGGATGGTGATACCAAAACTTCTCTGTAACCTGACCAGGGCTACACCACCCCCCCAAAGAAGCAGATTTTCCTACTGTCCTATCTGAACTCCCAAGCAACAGCTTGGGACCATCTCTCCTTGCTATACCCGCTGCCACTACTGGGAAGAGTTTGGCTCCATCATCTGTTTGCCACGTGATGCATGGACACTCCATCTGGGTCTGTGACAATCAGCAAAAACCACAAAACAGCACCACACCTTCATGCAACACTACATGTGTAGCTACACAATGCTGCACTGCACACCATGAGGCTCACCATGCACTTGGGGATCTCCATGCATTCCTTCTGCCAACACATTTTAGAAAAAAGTTAAGAGCTGCTATACTTACGTCATTATCTGGGTCTCTATGCCAGGGTCTACAAGGGATCCATCCACAAAGAGTGGTGTTGATGTGAAACTGTATTTACTCCAGGATCTTCCCTCATCAAAACTCACCCTGGGATAGAAGCAGACAAGATTTATACACATAAAAAGACTTACTCTAGAGCAACTTCAGCAATTAAATGTTGGCTAAGGTCTGCAAGCTCCCAGCAGCTAGATTTATAGACAAGCACCAATCTTTGACATTTCCCAGCCCACTAATTCATGCTCTTGGTGTATTTTGAAAGATCAAAGCCTTAGAGAGTATAAACACTGGCAATAAAAATATAGATATACCTGATCCAGCTGTACATCAGACTTCAAGGGACCAAGGGGCATTGCCAAGTCCTGTTTCTGGTTCTGCAATAGCACCTAGCATGAGGCAGCACTCAGACCACAAGTAGCCCTGGCCTGAATGCATGAAAATTGCTGTCAACACCACTGGATGTTTCAACCCATGCGTGTATCAATGCCATATGGCATTAGCTACAATCTCTCTAGCCCTATTAATAGTTCTTTGCATGCCATCTCGGAGATGGTGTCCATTTTACAGAGAGGTGGAGGAAGGAGGCCAAACTGAGCCACAGTCAGTGGTAGTTTGTGCTCTTTGCCTGTTACAGTTGTAAAACAAAGTTGTGTACTGGTTAAAATTAAAGCATTTCCCTTCTCAGAGGCTGAGAGCGCTCACACTGTCAGTGACAAGCCAGGGTAATTCAGTGGCTTTTGATCATCTGTCCCTACCCACAACCACCGTGTGCCTTACTTTCTGTTTTTATCAAAGAGCACGTGTATCCTAACCCAGCTGACAGGGTCTAGAGTTAGTACAACCGGCTTTTGGATTAGCAGAGGAGGGTTAGCAAACTCTGCTCTCAGCTACACCCCAGCAACCTCTCTATCTCTGATAACTACAAAGGAGTAGATGAACGAACACTCTAGCCGACCACACCAGCAGACAGACTAGGTCAGGACTCTGGTGGCCTATGCCTTAGTGTCCCTTCCCAGCCTCCCTCATGGCCTCCCCTCACCCCATCCATGGCCTAGGAGCCCAGCTGACACCATAGGAGTGCCAGGCTCCAGCTCTGCCAAAGCCCTGCCCGGCCATGGGCCTGACACGCGGGCTGATGTCCCAGAGTGGCCTCAGCCTGTCCCTGTCTACAGCGAGGTACCTGATGCCCAGGGCTGGTGCTGCCCTGCTCCTGGCTGGGATGATGGGATGGGCGCGGGCTGTGAGATCCCTCCCTGCTGTCCCAGGGACCTCGGTCAGCTCCTGGTTTCCCAGCCGTCAGGGAGCTACCAGCCCTGATATCACCCTGATAGTCTGTGCCCACAATAGTGCAGCCGGAGGAGGGTCTGCACACCCAGCTGCTGCTGCAGCAGGAAAGACAGGCAACATGTAGACTGTCAGCATCCAGCTCCCAGAGCTGCTGCTCATGAACCGTCATGAAAGCAACCAAGTTTCTTTCTGCCCCCAGACTCTCCACACAACTGCTCCTGCACAATTTCAGCCCAGAATTTCAGCTCCAAATTATAACAGTAAAGGAAGAACAAACAGAGAAGCACAAAGGTTTATTGGCTGTAAAATTATTTGATCCTCTCCCAGCAGGGTCATTAGAGTTCTCTGTAATTCGGCGAGATACCTGGGCTGTGAAAGCTGACAGATTACTCTCAATGGACGTTACCAGAGAGACAATAATGGCACAAACTTCTTCTTTGAAGAGCAGGAAACACTTCTCATTTTAAAGTGAGCATAAAAAGAAGTTTGCCTTATTTTCCAGGTGAGGAAAGTTTGGGGGGGATGCGTGTGTGTGTGCGCACATGCATCTGAGCACCTGGATTTGTCTGAGAGAGTCTTGCTGGAAACTGAATCCTCCCCACTCCAAGTAGGGAGCATCAGGGACACTATCTGAGATGCCACCAAAGGACTAGGAGGCCAGTGTAATATGTATTACAAATAATGGGTTACACCAACCTCAGCTCTCTAGTGTGGAAAGCCAAGGCTTGCAGTCACCATTCCCTCAGTATCTGCCTCTCACAGCACCTAGCAAAACACTTTCACCTGACTCACAATGCACATCTGCCAGAATAGGAAGCTGACTATAGACCAAAGACAGAAAGCTGGGAGGACAACAGCATACAAAAAGCTTATCTGCCCCAAATCTATTTATTTAAATGTATGTATCTTCCCATACACCTGTGCATTTGTATGCTGTTCTGCTTGCATGCTTATCTATCTAAATAGCATTTCAATTTCTGAGGAACAGCATGCTTCATTAGCTTAGCTAAAGTTCTCTCAGCTTTTCAATTATCCGTTCCTCTTTTCTCCAGGATGAAACTTATTGTACAATGTCTCAGCCTGAGTACTAATAGGTATATGCGTAACCTTTCATCTATTCCACTCCTGCCCATAAAACAGGTGCCTACTGAGGCAATATGAAGCAAATTCCAAAGTCCCTAAGGGTACAATTTTGGAGGAAACCTGTGGAATCTTATTGACAACAGCTCTAAATCACTACTCATTTAATAGAGCGGGTGGGGCACTTATAGTACTGCACATGCCATTTCATGGAATTTAGTAGAAAGGGAAAACATCTGAAATGAACCTCTGCAAAGCAGACAAAGGTGAACTGGGTTCTCAGCTCCTATGGGAAGTCAACCTGTGACCAAAACTTTCCCGACATCTAAGTACAAGCACTTGTACATAATGTACTTTTCATGTCCAAAGAGCCTTCACAAGGTAAGATGCAATTAAAACAGTTGCACCTGGGTTGAAGAATACAGTCATAAATGGTTAATACATGACTTACAGCTCTTTCAGTAAGTGGCTCACCTTTCACTCTTCCAGAGCTCAACTTGCCACAGCCTGATGTACCTACTGCTCGTGACATTTATGCTTGGCTAACACACACTTCTCCTGCTTTGGCTTATACTTGGTTTGGTCTTAAGACTTGGACATGGTCTTGATGTCCTCTTTCCTGAGGGCACTTCAGGTATAGTCATGACTACTGAGTTACCTATCAGAGGCAAATGTTTCTAGTCACACAACAACACATTCTAATCACAGACAGAAAGCAGGAGTCTGCTGAAAGCATCATTATGGGTCAGCTCGATTACTACACTCCTCTACATATCCAGTTATGGAGGCTGTCGGCAAGAGGATGCTGGACTAGACTAACCCCTGGCCCTGACTCAGTACGGCTACATATATTATGTTATGACTGGAACAAGTTTTCTTATGTTAAAACAAACAACCTGTTTCCTGAACACTAGAAAGCAAGACAAAGATTGCAACCCTCACTTTGCATATAATAACTTGCTTGTAAAGCCACATGGAGGCACAGACCTCTTACAGAATACTTGGTCCCCCTATCTCAAGAAGATCCTAGAAAAATTACAAAGCCTTAGGAATATGAGCCAATACATCCTGTGGTTAACAATCCACTATCACACCAAAACTAAAGCAGTCATTTCTTTAGCTCAGGTGGTAAAGAAATTTACTCAAATGCAACATATTCAAACTTTAATAGAAATCTATGTTGCAGTCATCTCAGAGTTGTCTGTCAGGTCAGGAATATAAAGTCCAGAAGCTTTTCATATTGAAAAAGTAGTCATTAAAGTTCTTAAGGTACCTCTCTGGAACATTAGCTTGTGATGGGTAGAGGCAGAGCGTCTTGAGGTCTCCAGCTTCTGAATGACTGTAATTTAACTGAAGGATTTTGTACAATAATGACTCAGGTAGAGGAGACCTTAATCACCTCATCACTGCTGCCAAACACCATTGCTTTCTTTTTCTATTTCTTCTTTTGACTGAAGGCCACATTTCCTGTTTTGCATGAAGAGCATGAGATAGACATGTGCTTAGCACCATCAAGCTGAGAGACGGCTCAATCTTGCAGACAGGAAAACAAAACTTGTCTCTCAATGCTATTTCTAACTAATTCACTTCTAAACAACATTAGAAGCTGGGTAGGTCAGTCCATTAGCCATGCCCCTCTTTCACTCAAGACCAGAGACTGAAGGTGATGCTAATACACACACTTTCTGTAAACAAGGTTAGTTCTGAATTTCAGAATGCCTCTCTCCAATGCCTAGCTGGTGCAGGAGTGAGAGAGGCAAAGGCTAAGGAGAGGATAACTTTGAGCAGTAACTTTAGTGCTTAGATTGTTATAACCCACTTATAGCAAAACAGTATCTTCAACTGAGAAACCATTTTGCCCTATTCCACCCCCAACTCTATTCAGTTGCCACCACTGTATCTCTGGAAATTGATAGTGGAATCCTATAGGAGACAGCAACATTATCAACATATCTCTATTGTCCTTATCAACACCTACTGCCTTCTCCTCTCCCTCCCTTTATCTGTCTTACCAGTTTAATACCAAATTCTGTAAACAAAAAGCAGGAGAGAGGGACACATCCTTTCAGAAATACTTGAAGCACAAAGGATGACTTCTTACTCAGTATATATGTGTCTGTAGGAAAGAAACCCCACCTGAAGTCTCATAGTACATGACTAGTGCGAAGAATAATTCATATATGTGTGTGATTATGTATATAGACATTATATTTATAAAATGGTAGAATAATCATTATATTAATCAACAAAACCCAAATGATGGTAAAATGCAGACAAGAATGATCTCATTTGTTCATTTTGTAGTCACTAGCAGATGTTGACCAGGTGATGCAAGAGATATTAGCACCACTGTCAGCTTATCGCCATCAGGAAACCTTCTCAAAGTAACAAGTTTCCTTACCACATGTGCTGGATGGGGACTGACGTGTGTTTCATGGCCACTAGTGCTCCTCCCCAGTCCAGAAACCACACATTGTATTCCTCCTCGAAGATCTGCAAACAAATCAGGTACTGCATGAGTGCTCCACTCCACTGGGAAGGGAAGACTCAGGAGAAGAACAATAGCAAAAGGCTCCATGCTTTCCTTTGCTCTGCAAAACATACCTGTCTCCAGGAGTTTCCACCATCAGAAGAGATGAACACACCGACATCAGTGTAGGAAAGCTCAGAGCCAATGTTGCCTGCAACACAAGCAAGTGTCAGACATTCTTGTATGGATGAACACAGAACTGCATTTTTCCAGGAAACCAAAAGCACTTGGTCTGACCAGTGCTTCTTTGCTGTTCTTGATTCTATTCTCATCTAAAAACAACACCATGGTCAGGTGGCAAGATTAATTTACAAGAGCCGTGCCATTTGAAAATTGGCACTGAGGAGAAACAGTATTATCAGCTTATTTTCCCAACAGATAGCACCACCCACAATTGCAAGCCACTAAAGGCAGGCTTATTCTAGCCAAGGGCCTACATACTTGAAAAACTGCGTATGAAACCACACACCCATTTAGTGCACACAAATCATCAGAATGGCAGCAGAATAGTGGCTACTGTACCTGGCTACCAGATATTTCATTCCATACACATTTTTCTCTGAACTTGTAGTCTTTGTGCTCTGGCTGGTGAGTTGCATCTCTGTGATCTGCCAGTCTTTGTTAAGGGTAATGCAATTACATCCACAGGGAAGTTACTCATACAGCTGAGTTCAGAGGTGAAACCCAGGGCCACTGAAGCCCATGATTTTGGGGCTAGAAAGCCTACTCAAGACTCTGTCAAAATGCTCAAACACATAACTGGTCTCAGAACCTGCAGTCAAATAAACAAAGCTTCTTCCTAGGTTTCCTAACCATTTGCAATTAATGAGGACTGTGATGTAATGAAATATAAGTTCCACTTGAAGGAAATTTTGTTTGTTTAGGTATGAACCTCACCTGAGGGCAGAAACCGTTCAGAGAATTCAGGTGGGTCAAATGACTTTGCAGCAGAGAGGTAGAGACCAGACTGAGCATCATTCTACACAATGTTGATTGTTCTCATTGACCTAGCTGTCCCAAATTGTGAGTTGAAACTTACTGGTTACTTGGTACGGTTCTTAATTTTAATCTTGTAATTTCCACTATGATGGAAAATGTTCTGCTGACAGCCTTATAGGGGGAACTACTCTGCCTTTACCATGTGTTACGGAATGGATATGCCACACATCAAAGCAATGTAAAGAAAAGCTCAAACATTGACCTCAACCATATATAGAGAAAGCATGGCAGAACACCATTTGGAGACACTACCTCAGAGGTTGAAACTGTTTTTTCCAAGGTCCCTCATCTGAGATGGCAGAGAGAACCTCAAATCTTACAGTGATACGTCTTAATACAGAGTAAATAATGAACTTGGACTAAATCCCCAGCCCTCTGGAACCTCTGAGCATCCACCAATAGCTGCAGGAAAGAGATGCCCAATATCTGCAAAAACTTGCACATGCTCTGAATAGACCTTATTAGCTTATTCCCCACACTGCCCTGAGGGCAGCATCTTGCTTCTGCTTCCAGAGTTAAAAAAAAGCACCAGGTTCACTGAACAATGCAGGTGTGTTCTAAATAAATTTGTTCTCACCTCCCTACTTCCCAAAGCACCCAGTGACTCAGGGAAAAGCTGCCACAGTCACCCAGGAATTGTTTTTCTGCTGGTCTGTCAACAGTACCTTCAATCAGTACTAGGTGGGATTCTGGTGGTGTGAATGTCTGTCCCATAGGAAGCAGGCAGACGTAACACTGACAGATACTCCATCGGAAGGCCTCCCAGTGATAATGGCCCACAGCCACCATATTGTTGTCAAACCCATGACTTCTTTATTCAAAGCCCATGAATTCTTTACCCAGTGAGCCACTCTTATACCTTCCAAATGAGACTGTTTTTAAAGCAGGTGTAACTTCCATGGAAGGAAGGGAAACTAATATTTTTTCTTCAAAAATAGCAAAGGGAGAGGTGGCACTCTTACACATCTGTAGCATCAACAAGAGCATAATAAAAACACACTAATGAAAATGTTAATTGAATTTCTGACATTTAATGCTGGAAAATGAGAAATTAAAACCCAGATGTGGGTTGACACACTCTGTCACCATCATGGAATCCAACTAGCCACATTGTTGTGACAATGCTGTTTCAAAAAGTAAAATTTCTGGCTCAGAGAGGCAGGACAATTCAAGAAAGGCTTTTCTATCAGTGCTTAGGATGTAAGAAATGTCACACTGTCCATCTACTTAATCTTATTCCCTGACACCAGCAAGAATGACCAACTGCTTTAGATGAAGGTACAAGAAAAACCTGCTGTAGGCAACCATGCAGAAGGATAGTCTATAGGGACATCCGGGTTCATGAAGATAAATCTACTGTGTCAGTCCAAAGGTCTGTTTAGCCCAGTGTCTTATCATGAGTGGAAGTCCTCAAGAATTAGAAACTGACTTAAAGGCAGAAGTCTAAGTTTTGTATCACCATATTTTAAATATCAAAACCGGAAAACCAACTTTCCAAACAGGGATTCCCAGACTGTGGCAAGGAAAGAGAGTAAAAAAGTGAGATTCTGTTGCTATCACTTCTATCGGTCTGTTTTTCTGTGCAAACCCGTTCCATTATTTTCTTCATTCTCTCCATCTAGTTTCTTTCAGCTACATGGATTCAAACCCCACCAAACGTAACTAACTCCCAAACAAGTCAAGAGGATTTGGCAGTTGTACAGTTAGATACTAAAACGTAATTCTTCCCTTTGCAAGAATCTAACCTCTGCGCTCACATCAAGAGTCCGAGTTTCCCATCATTGCTGGAAATGTACCACTGTAAATCAAAGACTAAGACACAGAGAGTTTGAGCAGCCAATGCCTGTAAGAATAAGTTGCAATGCTTGTCCTGGAACACATTCGCCAACATGGTGAGACGTTCCTGTTGTTGTGAAACTGGTTAGTGGAAACAGATGTGTATATTCCCAACAGGTTAAGCTTTTTATTGTACAAAGCAGTAAGGCAGAAATTATATTCTGCCTTTTAAAGGTTAATTGTTAGACTGGGAAAGCATTCATCCCATGCACTGGCAGCTTGAAAAGAACCTCATTTACTAACGATTCAGATCAATGCCTAGAATCTCACTGTCCTGCTGCCTCTATTTGCTCCCTGAAAGGTTAAAGAAAAAAGGCTCTGCAATCACAGCATCATGAGTAGGGCTTGCTCCTAAGCATCCATCTAGCAAGTGTGACCTGCCAGGAGTGATGACTCCACTTGGCTATGCATAGGAAGATCTGGAGGTTTAAACTAAATTATCTTGCCCCGTTTGGCCTGGATCAGTGAACTGGAAATCACATGGTGTTTCCCTTGTTGAGATATAAATGTCATGAAGGCAACCTGTCTCTCAGATTCTGGCTTAGTCTGGCAGACACATGGAAGCACAGAAGGACATGAGAATGGAAATGGCTGGAAGAAACAGTGTAAATTCATATAGGCAATATGCTAACATGACACACTTGCAAGCCACTGCTAGGCTGAACAAGACAAAGGAGATAAAATGAGCCTTAGAAAGAATGGTTAAGCTATTTGGATATATTTAAGCGTATGTAGGAGCCACCCTGTGAAAAGGCAGGACAGCCTACATGCTTCAGAGGCCAGCTTTCAATAGCACCAGCCATTCAGAAAGCACTTTGTCAGCCCAGCAGCTCCCACAGAGCTGTGGGAGCTCTGGGTTTGGTTGGTAGCCCCATCCATCCTGATTAGGTTGCATGCTGTGGGCACACAGGGCCTGTACTGCTTGTCAGATTAATTATAGTGGGTCAGCCATTGCCACCGTGAAGCATTGTAGCAGGTCACCATTGAAACATTGCGACCTGCCAAAGCACTATTTTGCAGAACAACCCACAATAACAATGACCCCATGCAGTGTTGATGAAGTGCTGCTAGTCTTGGAGCAATATGGTGTTGAAAGTAGGTGCCATGCACAAGACAGGCACTCATGAAGTCCAGGCTTCACCCAACAGGCTTTGCGACAACTCTGTGCTTGCTACTCAAAAGGTGGAACGTATTGATACCTCCCAGGAGTGCAGCCATGATTATAGGCCCTGTTCTCAGTCATGGTAACTCCAGCAAATGGGTAGGCACCCACATCAGTGGTTGTAATGATGTCAAGTGAGAGGAGTTAGTAATGCCAGCTGGTAATGATTCCTTGCAGGTGTAGGCTTAGACCTGCATCTGGGTTATTGCAGAGCAACAAATACCTGACACGCATTATCTTTTTTGAAGTCAGGGGCCACATACCTTCTCCTAGCCCACAGAAAATGGGAGTTAATGTGAATTAGCTCAGCACTTGCTGAAACAGAGCTGAAAGCTTTTACACCAACAGGAAACATCTCATATACTCTCAGGCTCCCAGTGAGGAATGGGTGAGTGGTAAGAAGCACTTATGTTCTCACCTGTTGCCACCAGCAGCCCAGGAGCTGTCTCTTTGCTGGAAATGCTTCCTGAAGTATACGGATTCTCTGAGAGTTGCAGATGTAAGTGCAATGAGCAAAAGGGCTGTTGACAGGAAACAAACAAAAGGCAGAAGCTTTAATATGCAACAAGTTAAATATCAGAGGAACCCTTGGCGACTGCACACAGATGCTCTGATCCTTCTGAAAATGACCCCTCTGCTCTTAGCACTGTTACAAATAGCAGCATTGTTCATTTTCTGAATAAGCACCGTAAAAGTAGCTGAGAGCAAGAGAAGTAGGAACACTGCATTACAAGCAAGCATGTCTGCATTTGTTTTTACCAACAATCTGATCTAGAGTACTTTTTCACAGAAACTTTCTTATTCTGACTTAAGTTCCATAAAAAACATCAAGAAAGATGGTCAGAATTTTCCCTTAAGATCTATGAAGCTATAGAAAAAGAAATCTACTTAACTTAATTAACACTCAGCAGGTCATGAGAAAAAAACACAGGGAGAGAGATCAACAAGTGAAACTTCAGAGAAATACCACTCCTTTGAAACACAGAGGCTACAGCCTACTGTAAAATGGCTGTTCACTGAATGTTGTTGAATTATGGCGGTAAGCCCAACCCGAAGTTCTCATCTGTAAACTGTGCCCCATTTTGGAGCACCTGGACTCTGCAGTTCTCTGACTGGCAAGAATCCCTCCTACCCAGTTTCACTGAACGTTTTGTTAACCCAGTGACTAAAATAGGCAGCTCTGAAGGAGCCAGTTGTGCTTTGGAAAAGGTCTGCCACTCACCAGCTGGCAAACTACAGGATCCCCTCTTAGATCGGTGTCCGGTGCCTGCAGCAAACGCCAGTCTCTGCCCTTGTTGTAGGTAATGAAAGTCTTGATTTGGTCATCTATCTTCCTGTTAGCCAGGAATATGCCTTTGATCCCTGCTACCTAGGAAAAATGGAGAGAGATGAAAAAATACATCGGAAGAACAGGCCAAAAGTAAGGCCCATCTGAGCACTCTCAGGAGTGGAAGGTCTCTGAAAAAGCAATAAAGTCATCTCAATCCAGCCTTAGAAGACTGTGAATGGCATTACAAGTACATCGTAATGATGCCTGCACAGCTGAAAGGCCTCATGCAATCTCTCACTCTGGAAGAAAAAGACAAGGATGTTCACAGAGCAAATCCCTAGGAAACAGCCCACTTCTGGATTTCCTTGAGAGCTTGCAGACAGGCTCTCAAGGGCTTGAAGGTACAGCATGCACGATGCACACATGAGCTCTGTGAGCCTGGGGATGTGGTCTGCCCCACTCCCTCCCCAGATTGCCATAACATGGGAGACAGCAGGTCACATCAGAAGCAGTGTGGGATCTTTTTGTGTTGGTCTTTTTTTTCCTTTTACACAAAAGATGGAAATCTTGAATATGCTGAAACACTGATGTTTTGCAAACTTGATTTCTTCACTTTGCTTCCACTCCCAAATTCTGTCAAAATCAACCCAATTGTTCCAAATGTTTTGATTTTTGTCAGCAAAACCCATTCCAGCAGAATACGCTCCTGTCAAAATGTGCCCAAGAAGATTTTGTGTTGAGTCTGGTCTCTGTTGCACAGCTGTGAAACTGAGACAGAAAGAAGGAACTTGCTGCAAATCTGCAACTTCGTGGCAACAGCCAGGATGCAAATCCTTCTACTTTAAAGCCCCCTGAGTGACACTGCCCTTTGAATGACTCTGTGAAAATCTATATCAGCATTTAACAGTAAAGAGTCTATGATACACAGCTGGGGAGTACAGAGTATGCCAAGGAAGGGGAGATGATGCATGTTTATTTTAGCTGGTTCATCACAATAAAGAAATACATCTTTTTTCACAGGCGAGAAAATGTATTTAACTAGGTGAAAATAAAACGTAATACATCTTTTTTCACAGGCGAGAAAATGTATTTAACTAGGTGAAAATAAAATGTAAAGCCTGTCCTTTATACTGATCCATGCATTATTTTTGAGTTTTCTCTCATTGCCTTAAATTACCTGGATTTTTATAAACACATTTATGATGTTATTAAACAGGCATTATTCTGGCTGAAAAAAATAAACGTATAATCCTAACTTCTATATGTAACTGCAAACACATTTCTCCATGTAACAGTAGAACTTTCCCAAGTCAGCCTGCAACCATTACTATTAGTATTACCGATTAGTTGTTTGTTGCTGGCAAAGCACTGAGCCCTGAACCTCAGCAGATCTTCCATCCAATGAGTTAGGACACACCAAAACCAGAATGCTCTGAAGGAACCAGGAACTGGAACAACTGCTCTGAATGGACTGCTGTTGGCAAAGGCTGAAATGCCTGGCAGAAGAATGAGAATGGAAGATGATTCAGGGTAGAAGTTATCCAGCTGTTATCTCTGGGCAAATGGCACCTATAAACTTTTGCTTATAATTCATAAACTACTCAGAGCTCACAAAGGTGGAATCCATATTCCCTACCTGCGAGCAGGTGCCTCTAGCTGTTCAAGGGGAAAAACAGTATTTTGAGTCCTTCTCCAGATGTCCACATTAGGATGAGAAGGATAATGGTTTTTCCTTTTGGAAATGACACATAACTAACCAGTCATTGACTTGAAAGCAACCAGTTGTCACACCTATAGCAGAATGCACTGCGTCTATTCCACATGAGTCGGCTGAGCATCAAATCCAGTAAAAGCCTCTGGGCTGATCCCAAAAGAAATGAAGACCCTGGTAAGAGATTTACACTCGCTTGAACTAGCAAGCAGTTGCTGTTCTTTGTAGGGTGACTTTTACTACATACCTCATAAAGGTCAATGATGATATTCCCCTCCAGTCCTCGACTGCTTTTCACGTTTTCCAAGGCCAGGGTGAAGTACACCCCCCGGGTGTCTGAGATATACAGGTTATACGTATCATTCTGGTTCCACTCTTGAACAGCTGCAAACACCTGATTCTCATCTGTGCTGATAATATGCATGTCCTGTTAAAAGAAGACAAAAGGCCTATTACTGAGGATCTCTGTATTTCTTTGCCCTTTGGGATATGTAGTAATTACCATGACTTATGGAAGAATGGAGATGGAGCATGAATTATAGGTATGTTAAACAATTTTCTGTTAGAGCAAGCCAATAAATTACCACCATTGTGACTTTTCTGCATTTCATTTTTTTAATGATCACCAGCTGGGCAAAGGGTTTTTGCTTTCTTCATTTTTGGTAGCTTCAAGGAATTTCATCCAGTTTCATTTTTTATTTATAAATTTGAAAGTCAGTTTTATAACTCATGGAAGATTCACAACCTTGGAGCCTGGAGTCCTCATAGTCACTAAGCGTGGTGTAGCACCAGGCTAAAAGCAATGACAATTTTCATCCACATGCTCAACTAAAGGGCTTGTGCTTCCAACTGGTAAAGAACAGTTTCAAAAAAACTGGGAGTTTACATGTATTTGAAGCTGAGGTATAGAGATCAGTTTGAGCTAATGCTGGTAGCGATTTTTAATAACAGACTTTTCTATTGAGAGTGTGTCTGAGATCTATTATCCCACTATATACAGGCTATCAAATAATCCACCCACTAACCATT